GGCTTCCAGAGACCACATATACAGAAGAAGGATTCAGAAAATGTGAAGTTTAGCTGTGCAGCAGTAAAAGAATTATTATTAGGTTTTTCATAAATAGAATATTTGATATTTTCAGCGATTAAGGCGAATTTACTTTTCACCTTAAAATGACAATTTTTTTCAGGTTCAGGCTGCTTCACAGCATTTTCTCATAGATCTATTGGAAGTGAGCTTCATACTTTTACCAGTTATTGGACATAATTTTTCTAGAGATGCCATGTTTTCTATAACATACACTGTACAAATAAGCTGTTAGAAAATGAAATAATGTCTTTATTGTTGCTATCCTTTTTTTCCTTTTAAAATATTAAATACAATTTTACAAAACTCTGAAAATGTATTACTCCATAAATGATATATCTTAAACCAAATGAAATGTGTCTGGATGTTTCCCTAATTATCTTCATGGAAAAAAATTAAAAATTGTAAGAAGTCATCAAAGTAGGTGTTTCTAAGAAATTATGAAAATTCAATTTTTTTAGCATTTTGCTAAAATAAGTAGCAACTCTTCTCAAATTTTAAATCACCTAGTTTCTTGGATTTGACATCTGCTTTTTGTACAATGCGATCCATAACCTTTGTGTGTCCATTTCAGATAGCAATGTCTATTTGCAAAGGAATTTAGCTTTCCATCTATTTTAAATATATAATAGCCATAGTGCATAGTTTATAGGGCGTTGGGGCTGCTCAGGCATGATCTGCTCAGGCAAGAAGAAAAGGCTTCTATGAATACCTGGTCTAAAACTTTTCTGTGGACACAGTTAAGGCTGACCAGCCTGTAGTTCCTTGGATCTTGCCTTTTCCTTGTCATAAAGAGAAGCATGACAGCAACTGCCTTCAAGTCATCAGAAACATTTCAAAAAGGCCAGGAAGTCTCACAGAGACACCTGCCAGCTCCATGAACACCTCTGGGGATGCTGTGCACCAGGGCTGTGAACGTACATAAATCTAAGCAGGTTAAGTGATCCACTCCTCTTTCATCTCCAGCAGGTGCTGCTTCATGTCTGGAGAATCTCTTCAGAAGCTTAGGGATCTTGGAGGCTTGAGGAGAAGCCTTGCCAATGGAAAAAAGGCCTGGAATACCGCTGCTCTTTGTATATGGCTTGTCTCCAGACCTGTTGTCCCATGAGGCAGTGGCAGCCGCCTCCGGTGCTGCCTCCTACCCCGGTGTGCAGCTGCTCCCTGTGGCCTCACCCTGCTGCACCCACCGAGGGTCACAGCTGCTCCTGCAAAGCCAGAGCCAGCACACCTTGCCCTGCCCTCCCCCACCTCCCTTTCCCGCTGCAAGGCTTTCAGAATATTGTAAAGTTTCCTAGGCAGGTTGCGTTTTGTCATGGAAAAGGAAATAATAGAGTTTAAACAACTGCAGTCTTGGAAAAAGAGTGTGTAAGGGTGTGTTTGGGGTTGGTATTTCTTATTTTATTTTTTTTAGGTTTTATTTATTTGTTTTATTTATTTGTTTGATTTGTTTATCTATGAACTTTGTGAGTGATGTTGAGTAGAAGCCAAGGCGTGTGCTGCTGGAAGATAAGAAGAATAAGGCAAAAAGGGAGACTGGAATGAACAGATAATGTTCTGACACATTTGATAGATATTCCTTATCTGGGATGCTATTATCATGGAAGTAGTAGAATTACAGGGCTGAACTGCTTTTCTTAGGGTCATTTTATATGTTAAGGGTGGGATATTACAGAGCTGAGAAGCCAGAGAAAGTCTTATGAAAAAAATTAATCTAGTGCTCAAAATGAGATACAGATGTTAACATAGTCTTCCTGCCAGGGATAGCTGATATTTCTCAGTGCTTTCATATGCCAAAGGGACAACTATCCCAATGCTTTGTGCAAGCAGCACATTTGTTTTAGACTTACTGTCCTGTTTTAAACTTTTCTTGTACAGTGGACTGTATTTTTTGTTGATCATCCTCGTATATGATGCCCACTAAGGCTTGTGGAAAGTTGTCGTCCCTAATTTCCATCCTAATATTACAGAAAGGGGATTAACCTTATATATCAGAAAGGATGAAGTGTTGAGAACAAGATGGGTGCAACTCAGCTGGAGTAGGAGAGAAGCTGAAAAATATGGGCAACAAAGGCATGTAAAATCATTTGCTGTAGTGAACGTGTAGTTCATTAATTTATTCAAGAGGAATAGCACCTTCCACCAGTTTATGTGGCATCATAAAGGAACACCTGACAACTTGCTATTAAGTTCAGCTTGTTAGGAAAATCAGCTGAGGAACAGACTATGTTGTGGAGGTCATCGTGCACGCATGTACCCATGTGGTTAAGTGAGAGCTCCCTGTATTACCTTTCCTGTGGGCTGGCACAGGCAAACCTGGGCAGATGAGACACTTGGTTTGAGTGGTCTGAGATTTATCTGGTTTTGTCTTCTGTGTTCTTTCCTGTAATTAAAATACTTTCTGTACTTCTCTGTTTAAAGAGCTTCACCCAGCAATCTAATATAGATGTCCCAAAACACAAGCATCCATTTTGAAAATCTATTGTATTTAAAAACATAACAGATTGCATTTTTATTTTTAAACATGCTCATAAATTTGGGAAATCCTCTCTGTGTGTGAAAATTAGTGCAAGCGTAACAGCTAAAATGCATTTAAAAGAAATCTTCACTTAAATATCAAAGGAGCTGGTGGGACAAATCTACATACAGTTATTGAAAACCTTAAAAATTAAACATAAACTATCTCACATTCTATTAGCCTCTTTGTGTGAGGTAAGAAGTGTCTTCTCCAGCCTAGTTGATTCTGTATAGAGAGCAGTGGAAGATTCAGGGGTCAGTATTGGAATCTTGGATGGGTGATATTAGAATCTAATGATTTTAGTAAATATAAAAAATTAGTTACAAAAAAAAGGACAATCTTCTCTCATAAAACTAAATGCAAATTATCTAACTGTGAGGTTAAGCTCAACTAGAAACAAATAACTAGGTTTTATTTGGGTCTTAGGTGCAAAGATTATTTGATTTATAAAGCCATAAGATATGCATAAAGGAATTAACAAGTCTTTCCATTATGTGTAGTAGCATTATATTTGAGAACTTAAAGATGGTGACATTTCAGAAGCTCAGAAAAGGGCTGAAAGTAAGACCTGAAGAAATATCCAAAGAGTTGTGCATAGTTGTCTTACCTGAATTTCCCTGAGGGACCTGAAATTATCAAACTGTTCTTTCTACACATCTGCAAGAGATACTGAGATTGAAAAGCATAGATTTCTCAGGAATAAGTCAGTCCTATTTTGTCTCTTCGAAAACTGCAGCAAGCCTTAAGGGTTAGGAGATATTACTTTAATTTAGTAAACTGCAGTTTGGATAATTATACATGGCATTCTTTTAAGCAAGTTAGGGAACTGTGATCTAGATAAGATTAGACTAAAAGTATTATTCAAGTTTTTTTGAGTTAAAAAAGATGTAATATTTAGTTGCAGTCACTCTTTTCCACAGTGTCTGGGGTTGTGGGGGAGGAGTGTAACTCTAAAATTCTGTACTGTGCATAATATTATTCTATGATATTGTTGGTAGTTTTGGAAATAGAGTAGATGCTATTATTGCTTCTGTCCCAGGCTTAAAATAATCCCAATAAATTGCAGAAATAATAGACTAGAAAATAATAGACATTCAGTTTGGTGAGAACAAGCAGAAGCACTAAACAGGGATAATTAACAGCAAAAATGGAAGATGGGGAATTCCCTCTAGTGCTGCAGGGAAGAATATGGGGACAGCATATTTACCATGCCATACTGTTACATGTGTGGCCAGTTCCAGATTTTTTGCGTTCTTACACAAGTGTTTTCCTTCCGTTTAGCAGTAGCAGAACTCAAGATGTGCTAAAATGCCTAGCAGACATCTTTTGACAAATATGAAAACACTTCGTTCCTCTCTCACCCTTTATGAATTGGAGCCATGACAAACATTTCTGTTTACTGGATTGATGGTCTGTGGCAAGGGCACAAGGGATAGAAACTGCCGAAACAAGATCCACTTGATCTTGTATTATGTATAAGGATCCAGTAGAATAACCTGGAGGCTCAAGTTGTCTAAACAAAATGTATCTGGTAATTGATAATTCATTAAATTAACTATTAAAGTCATCAAAAAAAGACTGAACCAAGTTTATTTGGCGTAAAAAATGGGAATAAGGGGGATTGCAATATATAAAATTGTTGAAAAAGGAGATCAGCATAAACTGATTTAGATATGACAAGAAGCAGGAGGGATTATTTGCAGCAAAGGCTAGATGTAAAAGATAAGAATGGTTATCTCCTGGGGTAGATTTTTTTTTTTTTTGGAGGGTGATTCAGCTTTGACTTCAGCTACTTAAAGGGAGCAGTACCAGCCCTTGTCAGTATTGGTTTGGATGTGAAGATACTTCTGAACCCCACTCCCTTTAAGAAATACCAAAACAGTCCATCTTTAATGCCTTATTCCTGGCTTTTCTGCTTTCTGTAGAATTCTGCCAACTATGTAAATAAGAATCAGAAGGAAGAGAAGCTGCTTCTTCTGCTTCTACTGAAAGACAAAAACTATGAATTATTTCTACTGTTAAATAACTGTGTCTGTTTACTTCATGTATCCTGTATATTCCGTTTGTTCTACATGCTGAATGGAACCGTGGTCGTGCTGTTCTGGACGGCTGGACCAGTTCCCTCTGTGGTCATTATGCTTCTCCTCTCAGGCTACCAGATGGCTGTTTAGGTGTAATGATGACATCTGTTTGATTCTACTTGGCAGTCTTGAGATTGTAGAACTCTGGAATCGCTTGGGTACTGCAAAATTAAATGAAGATAAAATTTTAACTTTTGTCTTCTATAATGCCGTATTGATGAATAATCGTATGGAATTTGCCATAAATTATTATTGGACATGTTCTCATTTTTTCATTTCTAATAATTTGGTTTATGTTATTTTCTATATTTAGTTGTACTGACTCTGTTCTGGTTATTTCCTAGGTGTAGCTACAGAAAAATATCACATTGATCACAGGAGCAGAAAACAATCTGGATTTTCTTCTGATGTGCTGACTACAGTGATTGAAGTATTGAATCCTTTCACACCACCTTCCTGTAAGTAGGCTCAGTCAATGGAAACAGAATTTTGTTGGGTTTCTGTGTAATTCAGTACTCTACAAGGAAAATGGCTAATTTAGTATTCTGCTGGAGAAACAGTTACAAATATTTATATGCACACATTGGAAAGAACAATGTGAAGGCTTAAAGCTTGTTCTGATGTTCCTCCACTGCCTTTTCTGAAATCCAGGTTGAGGAAGGAAAATCATGAGTCACAGGCATTATTAGATAGCTTTTGGAAATAGTAACTCTGTATACTGTAGGAGATGAAATAATGAATTTGTATAGAAGACAAGCAAGGAAATAGAATTGTAACATGAAGGGATTATAGGGATATCTGTATTTGTTCTTATCAGCTTCTTTCTGTGTCACTAAGATAACAAGTAGTCACAGTCTCTTCCAGCTAGAGATGCACAATATGAACACTAACAGACAGCATAAACATTGTCCATGGCTGCCCTTGGCTCTGTGCCTCTTAGTTATTGTCAAGGGACACAGAAATATAGTTCTGAGATGGTCAGAGTGACAGTCTAAGGATATTTGGGACTAGTAAATATTGAATATTTCTTAAATTGGATTTTATCACTACTACAAGCTGAGATATAAATCTCTTTATTGTTATGGGAAGGAATGGATATTTTGAGATATTTTGAATTAATGAAGCATTTGGGTTTATAAATTAAGGCCTTCTACTGACAACAGACATTTGGATTGACATACCAGTTTTCTGGATTCAGAGTTAGAACTTCCACATGCAAAGCAATAACATTTTGGAATTACTGTGATTTATTAATTTAAAAAAATTCTAAAAAATTTTGTATTGGCCTATATGATAGACTGACATTTTATATTGTTGAAATGTGTAGATATGTGAATTTTCCTAGATGATAAAAACACATGGTGCTGATTAGGGAATGACATACCTGTATTCCTATGATATACCAAACTTCTAAAGAAGTTTGACTCTGAAAGTCAGATGTTGATATTAACTGGAATATTCAGTGCAAAGGAACTAAAATAGGGATTCAAAATGATGAAATAAAAATTTTTACTGTATTGAGCATTTAACTTGTCATTGTCAAACATGTCAGTGTCATTTTTGCACTTTGTTTTCTGTCATATCATAACATATTTGCATCTACTGAAACAGCTCTTGAATATTCAGTAGTATTGTATTGTTGTTTCGTTTGATTTTTCACTTAAAGTTGACTTTTTTGCAAGGATCTAGGGAATGTAGCTTGCCATCTGTTGCTTAAATCTCTGTACATCTCTTCTGCATTGAATGGATAGCCTTTGTTGCCTGGTTTCATGATTTGGAAATAGGAAATGATGCTTTGAGATGAGGCAGTGCAAGGTTACATTAGTGCTCATTTGTTTATCTGCACTCATTACATTTGAACCCTCTGTTAGGAGCAGCATTTATAAGGGAAGGGTCTCGCTATGGTTTCTGAAACTTCTGTGGAAAAGAAAGGCTGAGCAAAAGAGAGAGGGAGTTGCAAACTGTCTGGTTATAGCGTAAGCTTAAACTGTAGTAGATGAGAGAGTAAAAAATTGCAGTTATCTCTCTTATGGGAGAAACTTCTGTCAGAGCTCAACACTTTCTCACATGCTAAAAACATTCAGCTGTAAGTTGTAGATATGTCAGAAACAAGGTATCATAAGGTTTCTCATACTTTGTGGAAATTTGTGCTTCTAAAGGACACCATGAGCAGTTAGTAAACCTTTTCAGCTTGGGTATTCAAAGCCAGAGGAATGCCAACATATCCGTAAACATGGGGAAGTGCAGTTGAAAGAACTGAAATGCCTGGGTGCAGTCAAATGAATGAACTGTTTCCCTCAGATTTCTGTTTGGAGTTTTAGGTATGTTTGTGTTATTTCAGTGTGCTTTTAATGGCAGAGTTGTTTCTCAGTGCTAAGCATTTGTGTATAAAATAATTGAAGTTCATACAATAAACCATAGTTCAATTTACTTGAATATGTAAATTGGCTCATTTATGAGTCGCTCTTGCATGACTAGTACAACAGCATTCCACATGATAATTTAGGAAGTGTGCCGTAATTGGCATATAATAATATTGAAATAGTTTGCCCAATACATTGTATTTCTTGGACAAAAACTGATCAATTTTAATTTTTCAAATTCTATACTGCTTTCTCATGGAAGTGAAAGTATATTTATTAAAACAGCAGTGACTGTGAAGCCTAGTGTGGTAAAATTTGATAATTTCTTTTGTCAAAGAAGCAAATCATGAGATTAACTTGAGAGTAATTGTTAAATTTAAAGTGCAAGGTAGTGGGAACACAAAAAAGCTTTATGATGAGTTTTTGTCAATCTGTATAATTTTTCAGTTAAGCAGTAATAAATCAAGGAATATTGTATTTTTTGAGGCTCATTAAAGAGACATTATACATTAGAATAGTGAGGCAGTCAGCATAATGAAATGATGAATGCCTATAACTATCTGTATGTAAATGATGTGAGACAGATTTGCTGGTGCTGCAGAGGAGAATAGCAATCTATTAGACAGATCCCTGTAGGTGCTACTTCTGGATACAACTGACAGATGTTAAATGTAAACCTCTTCAGCAGCAAGCACTTATTAGCACTCAGTGGGGAAAAAATGGCAATATAGAATTAGACAAATAGCAGATAATGCCATTTAAATAACTTTGTTCTTATGAGCTTTATTGCCACTATGTTATAGTCTGGAAGGCTGGGGTTTTGTTTGGTTTTTATTGAGAAAGCCTAGGTAGGTAAGAGAACATTTTCAAATTTAGAAATCTGTAATTTGAAACACTTAAGAAAATTCACTCAGTATTATAACTTAATGGAACATCTATGTATGTGCTCTTTCATCAGCATGCTTATTTTGAAATGTTATTTGGTAAATATTTGTTGAATCATTGTGTGCTTAATGTCAATACTGCGTGTGTTTTCTGACTCATCAGATTAGTTTTAATTGTTGTTTTCTTACTTTTTCTCCTCTCATGATGAAATAGAAAACTCTAGTCTTTCAGATTTGTCATTTTAAAGGAAAAAGACCAGAAGCAGTTAATGAAACATGGTTAGCAATAGCAAATACTTTTAGGACATCTTATGATTTCATTTCCAGGCTATTTGTCTCAGTCCTAGCCTGAAATGCTACTCCTGGAAGTATAAAATATTAATCTGTGTGAGATTCACAATAATACAACTCTTCACCAGAGATCAGCATTAAAGTAGTTCAGGAAACTATCAAAACCACTTGATTTATTTCTAATCCTACTTTGTAATAGATTAGGTTAGGGATTTATATTTCTTTAAAGTATGAATCTAGCCACATGAATTGATTTTTCAAATTGTCAAAGCTTACTCCAAAGCCTTTTTATTTTTTGAGATAGCCTGTCCTTAATGAATTTTTTTTCTAGCTGCCAGCCAAGCTGCTGCTTGAAAGGGTAGAGATTAAGCCAACACTAAGTGTGATGCAATGTCTACATCTTTAGATGGCCTTATGTCTTTTAGTATTATGAAATCTCTGACACTGTGTGTGCTTTTTCCTTGTTATCTTTTGTCAGTTGTTTAATGCTACCTTGTGTTGCTTGCACTAAATCTTTTTGGAATTTAGCGTTTCACTGCACCACTGCAGATTTGTAATCCCCTTTCACAGTGTTAAATTATCGGCCACATATGCACTGTGTCTAACTCAGTGGATGTATTTATTGTTCCCAGGCTACTGTGCTTGCTAATTTGTTTCTTTATTGCTTTGCCTTGAATTAGGGAATAATCTCCCTCTCTTTTTTGAGTTCTTAAAGGAATAGCTAAAGTTTATTCCCTTGTACATTTTGTTCTTAGTTCTCACTGTCACAAATTAAATCTAGATTATTTTCTTCATGTAGGTAAGTATTGGTGTATGTTCACATCAAACAGCCCAAGAATGTCAAATGTGAATATCATCTCAGTAGGGAAAGGAGAGACGTTTTATGAGAGAATTTAAGCAATGATCCATGACTGTAACAGACTTCTTATCTAGCCAGAATTTAGAAGTAAGGAGGAGTTCGTAAAAACTCGTAAAGAAGACCTTTCTATGCATTTCCTGGTTTAAGCTTTGCTCCCTTTTCTTTGCTTCTTCTGTTCTCAGATGTGTTATAATCCCTCTTATGTCAGATGCCACAAGCATTTTCAAAACTGTCTTTACAATCTTGTTGAGCCAATCTCTGAAACATTTTGAAAACAGTGAAAACATCTAACAAGTACCTTCGCATGGCAGAGAGCAAAGCTGAGCTATGTGCTAGATCTTAAAAAAAAATGCAAACAAAAAGATGACAATGTGTTCTATAGAAATCTCCTAAAATTATATCTGTTTGAACATTTTATACCCGAAAAGAGAAGAACCAAACCAGCCTTTTTTAGTTCAACCCTTTAGAGCTTCCATGTTGTCAAGCAAAGTAACTGAGATCAGAGATTACTGCATCTGAAATTAAATTCTGTCTCCTTCTCTGAGTATAGTTCTACATGATCCAGTATGTTTCTATATGATGGGTGTAAATCACTAGCAATAAGTCTTTCATAATGTTTCTGATAACTGCACTTATTTGATGAGTCAAGGCTTACAAGTTATTCACTAGTTTTAATACACATAACATGCATGTATGATTGTAGACTTTATATAAATGTAGTCCCTAAATATATGCAAAGTATACATGATGCATGTAGTCTTGTAAATATAGACTAAATATGCAATGTGTAAATTAATTTTTAGTACATTTTTACTTTTAGGAAAGCAACTACAGGTTAATAATGTACTGCATAATGTAATTGTTTCCAGTAGTTTGAAAAAATTGCTTTGAAATATCTCACCAAACTTTTTTAACAAATAAGAAAGCATACTGAAATGTAAGTTTTTCATGGTCTCATTACTTCTGTTTAGACTAAAATAAATAACAAATTTAGTACAATGATGTCTATGTAAACTGCTGAAGAATGATGCATTGTTCATTACATACTATGTCAAATCACC